AGGTTTTCTTATTTTTATTATGAACTGATTTAGTCAACTAGGACTAAGATATAGCCTAATCAATTCAATATGGATTTTTATGATTTCTACACTTTGAGATTGCTATTCCATGATGAGTATATATTATTGTTCTTAATGCTTTTTAATGCTTGATCACCATTAAAATTGATTTGGAGAGCATAATTAAGACCGAGAGAAGATTTTATGCAATAGTTTCTAATAATATATACCATGAATTGAACGAAAGCCATAGATGGACCAATGTGATTCGTGCAACATTAGTAATAAGTGGACTTAATTTTCTACGTAAACTAGGGAATTTCATAGAATCTAATGTCTCTTTATCTATTTAAATTTACATAGAAATATAGTGAGTTAATAGATTAAGATAGATTTGGTATAATTTGAGAAAGTATATCGAATAGGATAAGAAATCCCGTTGTCACATAAATAGTAAAATCTTGAAAATATAATAATTGAAAATCCATATTAATTGATAATAGTTAAATTGATGCCTTAGTTCCTCATATCTTGATTAGTTTTATTTTAATTGTTATTTTTTTATTAATTTTAATTAAAGTTTCTTTCTTTTTAATTGTTTAAATAAATTTGAATTACTTATTTTGGTAATTAGTTAATCACAATTCTCATGGATTCGACACTCTACTTATCATTATATTACTTGGAGTAACTAGTACACTTGCTAGTGTGATTTTAGTGCATCATTCATTACATGAAATGAGTAACTAGTACACTTGCTAGTGTGATTTTAGTGCATCATTCATTACATGAAATGAAATTACTAAAGTGAATACATGAACTAATTCAACTACCGGAATGATGAAAAACAACCTAAATCTATTAGGAATTATGTTGAAATTCGATATCTGTAAGTAAAAGTGAGCAATTGCAAAGAAATTGAAATCTAAAAATTTGCAAGTTGTGTGTAGGGGCTGGCCGTGTGTTCTATGATCCAAAATTTTCCTTTTGTTTCCCTTTTCCAAGCTACAACTCCCCACTTTCTGCAGTTACACAAATTGTGGGCAGTTTTTTGAAAAAGTGATACACCTTAACAGTTGATAAGGTCAGACTCCCTTTCAGATTTCACCACTTGTCCCATTATATAATAACCCACACCCATAACTGAAATTTCCTCTATATTTCAACTAAAAGAGACTCAATTTAACTCAAAAAGGTAATTAAAAGATAAAATCTTGTCTTTTTAACTCCTTTCATCCAATGCGACAGTTGATCTATCTTGGGACCTAGAATTACATATCTGACATGACAAAATGTCCTCCATCCTTAAAAAATTTTTTAAATGTGGCATGATCTTTAGTTTTTGCCATTTATGGTGTAAACACATTGGTTTTGCCTAGTTAGCTTCTGTGTGATAAGGATTTAGGTGATATTGAGTTCATTTTAAAAATATTTAAAAAGAATTTTGCTTGGATTCTCATGGTGTAGATAGCACAAGTGGAATATCTAGACCGCTTTCTCATGATTATACTGTTATCCGAAAAGGCAGAAAATTAACAGGTGAATCGGATTTTGTTAAAATAATAAAATTTTTTGTAATTTCAAAATCAAAACGATCAACAAATACGAGCTATATCAAACTAGTTTAATAAATTTTGCAAGTAAATAAAATCGCAATAATGTAAACATAGGAGGGAAAAGTTAGCACAAACTTCACAATTTGTAAATGTTTTTCATCTTGAGTTAATTTTGTCTAGTTTTTTTCATTGTGCTTTTCTACCTCAAGAATTAAATCCACCACCTTCTAATTTGTGGGTGTTAGAAAAATTGCTGCATCTACCAATAGTAAGTCGTGGGTGCTAATAAATCATCTCACCCCTTGCATAAAATTTGTCAGCCAAATTCTATACCTTAAGAATTGATAACCTAAATTGTTTAAGAACCTATCTAGATATCTCTTTTACAATAAAAAAGAAGGAACTAAATTGTTCTCACTGAGATTGAGAAAAAAATAAAGTACTAGAGATTGCTTTGAAAAATTTCAATCTCTTTTCTTGATCTCTAGGATGCAAACATTTTTTTCTTATTTGCTTCAACTGAATCGAGATTAGTGGTGTCAACAACTTGTTTATATGGTGTCGACTGTTGCATCCTTGTGTCCACACACCTTCCTCTTAATTAGATCTCAATTCTATTTCAATGTGATTGTGTCTTCCACAATCAAATTAATTTGAATTTTCAAAGTTTAACTCCAAACTTCCTACTCTTTTCCACAATGTCAAAGTGCAAAAACCAATCATGGATATCCGACCCAGTAACTTTTAATGGTATCATTTTTTGTCATTTTACCATATATTGGAACCACTCAATTAGTTAATGGCTTCATATTTTAATTTGAAGATTTAGGTACACAAATCTTGAATCAAGTGTGAAAGGATTTAGAAAGAAAAAAAAATGTTATCTCTTATATATAGTTCATCATCATTAGATGTAAAAAAAAATTGTTTTTTATCCATTACATTTCTTTTTTTATTTATTTATTTATTCATGAAAACAATCCGACAATGAGTATCTTTTCCTCCTATAACCTACATTTTTTTTTCCTTTTCCTCTTTAAAGGGGGATTAGGAGGACTCCTTGTCTTCTCCACAAAAAATATAGTCTTAAATGTAGGCCCTGTTTTTTCTTATATTGCTTTTCAATGGTGATGGAGCCACGCTGCCAAAATCATATGTGGAGCTTCTTTTTGTGAAGCCAGTAAGTTAGGGCTTTTACAGATCATACTTCATAGGCATTAATTATTCGTTGAGATCTTTGCTTGTTTTGTGTCACGGACTACAATAAAATTCACCACCATACCATATCAATCTTTTCTTTGGCATTAATGTTTCAATAGAGAAGATGGGTGCATGATAGTTTTTAATTTGTTGGGATAACAAGAAATTTTTTTTTCATCGTTTATTTTGAGATTGAAGGGTAAATCTAGGATATAGTGATGGTGAACGTTTTTTCTTTAAATAAAGTAGATTACAAAAACATTCAATTCTAGAATTACATTTTCAAAACTATTTTCAATAAATCGAATCTCAATTAATAAAATAAAAAGTAAATTTACTTACCAACCGCACCAACCATCTACATTTATTCTTCTATAATTGATTTAGTTCTTGAGAGAGATTTGTTACAAATAAGAATAGAATATTTCAAAAAAATTTAACTAAGAATATAATCCTTTTTTCTAATTAATCAAGACTATCATATTTTAAAAGTTTTTAATTAAGATATAGCCTTTGTAATTTTTCCAGAAAAGGAATTAAGTGGATGTGTATGGTTATCTCATTGATTAGAAATTTTTTTAAGGGTGGTAGCCTTGATTAATAAATTTATTAGAAATTTTTTTTTAAGTGTATAATTTTATAAATGTCAAATTGTTGAGAATACATTAAATAAACATTTTTATATTTTCGTCACAATAATAATAGAAGAATTGGCATGGGCAATTATTTTCATTCAAGGAAACTACTAGAAAAGGGATTTGTGACATTCAACTCACATTAGGAGTATT